AACAACACAGTTTTACCACAGAAATACCCAGAAATGCCCACATATTTAAAGTAGATTAGTAAAAAACCACCAAGCTAAGGAAAGTAACTTATCAATGTTATTGTCTCAACATTAAGCATTATAAAAACGGGTACTTAGCATTACACTTCAAACCATCTAAACAGGGCAAGAGATAGAAGGAGAAACTGTGCAATACTCAGAGCATTCTCTCAAGGCACTCCAATATTTGAGACTGGATGGGATGAAATCAGAGAATCTACGACTAACAGGACAATATGCAGAATGCTCATTCAAAAGAGAAGTTTTACAAATCATCACTGAGTAGTAACTATTTCTAAAGGAAAAGACCGAGCAAGCAAGTTGACAACTTTCCAGAGGCCCAGGGGGTACAATACAGGACTATGAATTTAGGGAGCCAGGAGGAGGTGAAAGGAGGTGAAAAATGCAAGAGGAGGAAAGAGATGAGTTTTTTTGGAACAATAAAGGGTTTGAGTTGAAGGAAGCTTGAGTCTGATATAAGCAGTGGAGGAATTTGGAACTGTCATGAAGAGACCCGGGGGAGAATAAGGAGCTGCCTTCATGTGGACAGATGAAGCTGAGAGACAAACAGTGAAGGTGTCAAGTTATAAGGTGAATAAAAAGGCAGCAGTGAAGGAAAGTAAGAAGGAAAAAAAAAAAAAAAAAGGTGGTTCAGAATCTCAAAACTAGAAAGAGAGAAAATATTTGGGAGTATTAGAAAATTATTTTTATACAGAACATAACTAAAAATGCATGAGTAGAAAGCAGGAGGAATACGGGATGATTGAGAAGACTTTTGATTACAATAAAGAGATCATAAAGTGCATTTCAAAAAAAAAAAAAAAGGGTGTAACAAAGGCCTCACTGCATTAATCTTTTGGACATGAAAAGTTCTTGGGGTTAGAACTAAAAAGCAAAATAAATGATTGGTTCTTAAAGAGGTATTTTTGCATATACACACAAATATACCTGACGTAATTTCTCTTAATAATTTGTAATTCCTTCCTTCCTTTCTCCCACAGACAAAAGGAGAAGCAAATTATATTCATCTGAAGAAATATGATTTTACAAGTGATATGTTTTTATATTTTAGGCATACATATTTTAAAAAGAAATGATGTAGCTTAGAAATAAAATGTTACATTTTTCCTGCTGTTATTAAATTATATTAAAGTAGGAAAGCACTTAAGCAGAAAAGTGTGAATACTGCCAATTTCAAAATGTAACGCTTATTATCTTTAAAAGCATTTTGTTACTTTTATAATACCTGAAGTGATATAATAGTGTCAGTCACTTAAGCACATCTTAGAGTATAATATCTTCATCTTAAGTACTATTATTTCCAATATTTTAATAATTTTCACACAGTCCTGAAATGTGATCTTTTGTGCTCTGATGACACTTAAATTAATAGCATAATTTTCTGGTACTTGCAACAGTTGCTTTCCATTTTGATTTTTTACATTTTTCTATATCACATACAGATAAATCCTCTAATAATCATTTTTATCTTTATCTTTCGGGAATTCAAAGGGTTTCACTAGAAAAAAAGAAACATCAAGGGATTATAACCCACAGATAAGTTTTAAAATCCAATTAATTTTAATACTAATTGTAATTTTTCAATGATGTCCCTTAAAAAGGTAGTTAAATCTTTTTCTTTAAATGCACTGTTCATTTGATCTTATTTGCATGCTTCATTGATGTTGCCAGCTGTCTCTTTTTATGTACATAAACGCAGCTATAGCTATTTAAATACATCACATGCCTGTCATGCAAACCTTAGAAATAATAACATTCTTTTTTATTTGATTAACCAGCTAATTTTTGGTCATTCCCTGAGACTGTTCTTTTCAAAGACTGCTATCAATGCTCTTTCTGCCCACACTACACCAAGATGCTTGTTAATAAAGTCAAAGAATACAAACTATTGTCTTCTTGCTAAGCGCTATACAACTGCAGCAGGATTCGTATGAAATATGTCAAACATTTTTGGAAAAATAAGATATTCATAATCCAGTACATCATTACCGACTGCCTACCTGCCTCTAGAAACCAGCAACAAATATAAAACTGGTTCCTCCATGCTCTGTAATTCTTAGCTTTTTGTGATCACCAGGCAAATGTACATTCCAGGATCATCAAGGTTCAATCCTTCAAAACAGCTTAAAACGAATGAAGATTTCCTTTAATCTATAATCTATATCTTGCTTGCTATTTCTGACTATTAAGGATACCAACAATATCAGCTGTCCATACCCATAGTAATTAGGAGCTAGCATAAGGCAGGAAATGCTACAATTGAAATGCTCACAAAATCTTAGTGTTCAGATTGGATGGCATCATTCTCAGTTTTCAAACAGAAAAAAAAATGTCAGTTTGGAATAATCAGTACGAGGTCCCTGGTCTGGCTTTTAAGAAGACAATGTATTTTGTAGCATCGTGTCCAGCGACCATAATCTCAGTTCTAAATGCTCATGCTCTCAAATTCTCCAAATTGAAATGAGGAATATAATTAGTGATCTCTTGTGAGAATGCAGCGTTAAGTGACTCAGCATGGACAGTTTTCCCTGTCTGCCGAGCATTTATTTAGCATCAAAGTGCCAGCTCGCCCTAGGCTCTATGAGGCAAAAATGTGGTATATGCTGATACAAGCTATAACAATGTGGTCTGAATATCAGTTCAATGTTAACATGAATCTGTGATAACTTCTGAAAACAGGTGTTTGAAGAGACTGGGTTAAACCTGTTATTTTCAAAAAAAAAAAAAAAAAGACAGTGTAAACATATCAACTTTCACATGGTTCATCAGCTTCGGAAAACATTGGTCAAACTGCTTTATTTTTCCCATGAGATTGTACTTTTCCTTTTAATGGCAACAGCTGGGGGAGATTGTGGTGAATTATTACATAGAACCCAATTTGTATTTAATCAGAATCGGGATCCGGATGGGAAACCCTTTATTGCTCGAGTGAACACCTTATATATTAACAACCTGTCTGCTAGAGCCAGTCAGCTTTGGATTCGTGGCCTTGCAAATGACAGTAATCAGCTGGCCCCGTGCTGTCTCCAGCTGCTCTCTGAAGTAAGTTTCACATGGGAACAGCAAAGGGAGGATCAGTACACACTGGTCCTTCAAGGCCTTGGGAGAGCGCTGCTCTGTCTCAAGCTGTACCGTCTCCCACAGGAGATGAAACAAATACTTTGGTCAGTAAAAATCAGACGTATCGAACAGTTAAAAATGCCATAAGTAGCAAGTTGAAAGAATTCACAATTGTTATAAAATTGGGAGGAATTTCAAACACCTAAGAAAACAGAAAATAAGAGGAATTTAAGACACAGTTATAGAAATGAAGACAAATGAAAAGGGGAAAAATACTGAGAGTAAGAAAAGCCTAGAATTCAATAATATCTAAAGGAGCTGATATCATAGTAACTAATATTAGGAATTAAGATGACATACAGCAGTGAACATTTAGACTAGCAAAATCAATAATGGAGAAAGAGACAACAATAATTTTTGTACAAGTCTAGCAAACCACACCAAAATGCTCCTCAGAGGTTACTTATAAGAAACACAGTAGTGTAAAAGGTTGTTGGGGGAAGGAAGGTTAAAGGAGAGCTCTACAACCTCTAAAAAAGCAGTCTCAAACACGTGCATATGTACGGTTTTAGTATCAGGAGACACATGATAGCATTGCTAATACAGATTTCTAAAATAAATTCTAAGGAATTTCATATAGATGGAGGGTGAATCATTAACGCTTTTATCCCAAAGGAAACAGTTTCTGAATTTCATGATGATTCTTCTTAGCAAAGATTCCATTAGTGAAAGCTAAGTGATATTAGTAAGACTTAAAAAAAAATACTTTGCTAATTCTTGCATCAAATAAAATATGCTGAAAGGCTTCCAAGAATACCTGTAATATTTAAGGCAAATCTTCGAATCGCATCCGCTCAATCTTTGTCTCTACAGATTAGAATGGACAGTCTTGGAATGCCACACTCAACCCATCTGAACAGAAGGGCTTACCAGAGTTAGCATATGTGACTGCTAGGATTTTAATTAGTCATCTTCAAAAAGGCATATTCACCTATTCCCGAAGCTCCAGGAATCCAACCGTACAGGGCTTTGCTCAAGCCTAGCTGCTTCTTACAAAATTGCACTTGCCCTTTTTCCTTACTCCTCTGGTGACAAATCAGTAAGAGCAGGCCTGCTGGTCAGCGCAAACACCTACCTGATTAACCCTTTCAAAATAGGCCATTTCTTAAATTCCTGAAGTAACCAACATCTCTGATGAGATGGTTGCAGTTCAGGTGCCAGGAAAACCACAGCCATTAGCCCATAAGCATCAGCTTACTAGAGCCATAGGTAGACAGAAAACAACTTAATAGAACTGTTGGCTGGTCAAGGGATCTCCTGTATCACCTAAATAATCTATGATTCTTCAAATACATTCAGACTACTGCTTATCTCTCACAAACTAAACATAGTTTCCTGCCAACTATCTAAATTTTTATATTAATAGACAGCATAGAAAGCTGAGGTGTGTGAAGCTCCTTTGCTTAAAAAAAGCACAAGCATGATAAATTTTATTGTGTTCCTATCGAAATGACTGCAGTATAATTCACATCGCTTTACCTTCCAAATCCTATATTGCTGTTTAACTGCTGGCTGGCTGCATGACCTCATTAGTCATTAATTTCCACTCTCATGACCTTCATGTACCAAGGCAGCTGGGCAGTGGGCAGTGCAGGAACAGTACCCTGATGTGAGGGCACCACAATCGGGATGTACGAAATGTGCCAAACTGCTCGCAGAGCACACTAAAACGGGGAGCCAGCACATTTATCTGGCTATTTAGGAAAAGAATATAACTGAAATAAGTAGATGTTCTTGCACTTGTCATTGAGAAGCACTCTGCATTTATTTGGCACTTGTAACGGTAGCAGCAGCAGCGTTGCCCTTGGTGCTGATTTCTTACTACTCTAAAAGTCTCCTCTGAGCCAGAATCCACTGGCTGTTGCTGATCCTGCTGTGAGACACCTGCACTGGCTACTAGGCCTGTCACGACGCACAAAACCCCACCATCTTCAGCCTGACATTGTGCAAGTTATAATTATTCATCCAAATGAATATGTCAGAGCAGCAGCAGCAGACCTCTCATCAGAGCAAAAGAAAAATACATCAAAACATTATCAACCCAGCAGGAAGACAGGGACCATAAGGAAAATTACCCATTTTTAATATGGATGCCATAAAGCCATGTCTATTATTATACAAAAAGAAAAAAAAAAAAAAAGTTTCAAGTCCACAAGCAGTGAAAGAAACCTGAAATAGGCAACAGCACACAGAAAAAAATCAATTACCTGAAATCTATTTATATTCCCTTTCACAGAGTTTATATTATAATAATACAACTGCACAATTTTAGGTAAGCCCTGTCACTTTCTACATGAAAGGTGACCTACTCATATTAAAGACTTATCAATATCAAAACTTCATGTAATTCTACATAGCAGATTTGTAAAGCATCTCCTCCTTCCCTTTTAGGAACCTCAATGTTCACCCATTTGAGGACCTGCTAAATTTTGCTACCAGGTTTGTTTGAGCATTTACAAGGCTGTAAAATTAATAACATAGTGATATTCAAAATATGTATAAAGTTAAAAAGGATAGGTAAAATCCTGCCTGCAGTATACGGAATCCAGTACAAGCTAACAGATAACCAATACCTAAATTGCCCAAACCATACCAAAGAATAAAAAAATACAGGTAAAAATATATATGGAAACAAATATATTTTTCATTTGCAATGATCCATTCCTGCAATTATTTCCTCAAGCTCTTATACTGAAGCAATCCGACCTGGCACACACAACCTAGAAATTGGCAGTCAGTATTTTACCGTCGTTCTAAACTCAGACCGATACAACCTTCCAACCATGTTCCTTACACAAATGTAATAAAGATAGGCTTTAATAATGGGTAGAAAACCTGGCAAGGTTAGAATTATGAAAGGCTATCATTTATGTAAAATATGTTTTCCTGAATTAAATGAAATTAAGCATCAAGTATTTTCCAGAGAAAATTCAAATCAACTTGCATGTATGTTTTAATAACTTCTCAGCTATTAAAAAAGATGTATAGTACAGCATTTTACCTGTGGCATCCAAGAAACAGCAAACTGAACAGGAAAATCCACAAGGCAATCTGGCGGGTCCGTAGGATACTGAAGGAAGGAAAAAAATATTTTTTTTTCTTTTGTTTTTTTTTTTTATTAATCATATGTGATTTAAAGTGAGACTGATATTCAGTTGCCAAATTTGATAATGAAATACGAGCGCTTCAAGCATCTTGAGAATTTGGCTTTCGAAAGAAAAATAAGTAAAGCATTTGCAGAAATAGTTATAAATATTAATCATCATTTAAAGAAGAAATCTTCATTTAAACATTTTTTGTATATCAGATTTTACTAGAGGAAGAGGATTCACAGTTTCTGATATGTTCAATGTTTTCACAGATATATTGGAAAAAAATACTTTTAAGACAAAAAGGTCAAATGTGAAAAAGTATCTTTCTTGGTATCTTGACCACATTTGTCTAAAAGAAGATGTGGACATTTACACATCACTTATGGAAAACTCTCACCTGCCAGGTACCTGATCTGAAGGCAAGAAAAACCTTTTCTGAGTCATGAATTGATTTTCATTTAAACAGGAATGTTTGCTGTTATGGGGAACATTTCTTGTTTTGAAACCTAATCAGAGTAAGCACATACCCCTTTAGGAAGGGATTACTATACCCAGAATTAAAACAATTCCCATCTCCCAAAATAAATATTACCAATGCAGAAAAGGAAAAATAGCTGTACTAAGAAAACTGAAGCTACATAAAGAATTTTGATAACTAAGAAAATGACTGTTTACTGTTCGCTACACTAGAAAATATACCACACTTCAGCACCCTAATGTGAAGCCCTTCAGCACCCTAATGTGAAGCACCCTAATGTGAACAAACTAGTCAAAGAAAAAGATGTTCAGTTGTGAATTAACAATTTTTTTTAGAGCAACCATCCAAAATTCTATCAGCTTATCAGTAAAGCTTCTCATGTGAGAACCTACATATTTTAGTCAAATCTAACCTTTAGACAATGCAATTTATCAAACCCTAATAGTGACTTGTGTAGCAGATTTACAGAAATTAATAAACAGAATATCAACAGAATATTAATAAAGTGGTATTAATATTAATAACTTAATATTAAAATAAAGAATAGAGAATCTCATCTGGGGAGACAGAGGAGAAAAAAAGTCTCAATTTCTTCACCGAACTAAAGAGTTAAGACAAAGAGATGAAGGTTAACTCTGCTTCTGCCCAGAACTGCTCTCCACCCAAAATAACCCCCCAGGCCCGGGTACTGTCGTTATCTAGCAGGCATTCTTTATTTTTAATATGTATCTTGATTTTACTCAAAATGTATTTCTGCACCAATTTCCAATTTCTGTCTACTGGAAAGAGTAAATAAAATACAGCTTCCTGAAAGCATACATCCTATTGCTTTGATTTTCTTGGATAACCTAGTAGATTTCTGTATTTCACAGAAACTTCTTTAAACTTGTATTTTTTTTTTATTTCCCTCATCTATTTTTTTGCTAGAATGCCATTTTACAAAGACAACATTTACAACTCAAATATCTTAAGCTTTACAGTTTTATCAAATTGGTGGCAGACAAATTAAACAACAATGACACAGCAAGAGACCTGGAACATGTAAATGAGGTGGGAGACAGTTACAATTTTAAAATATCTACACACAAAAGCTGTTGAATTTCTTTTTTTTTTCCTGTTGATATTATTTTTCATGATATACTTCAGTGCTAGAGTGAAGTAAACTTGTTTTCTGTATATAAAAGTGCGCCTCAAACACAGTAATTTTTCTGTAGGATGAGTCTTGGGACCACCCCAGCAGCTTTAGCCTATTACATGTTAACTTTTCTGGTAAGTAAATTCATTTTATGCACTCTTTCATAGGATGCCTTTGAACAAGTGATTGCAAACAGATTCCACTAACTTTAGATTAAAGAAGCCCTACAGCAATTTTTCTTGGCATTCTAGCCAAATTTTAACAGCACAGCACAATGTTGTACTTCTGTGCACCAGCTAATTGCCAACAACTATGAATTCTTATGCAACAATAATTCTGCGTATATGTTAGTACAATGCTTTTAGACTTTGCAAGATGAAATCCTATATAAGATCAGGTGAGGAGATACCCAATGGGGTGGCATAAAATACTAGGACAGAGCATATCAAAGTCGTCATATTTTTATTACTTCATTCAAATCTCTATTTAGGTTAGAAATCATCCTATTATTCTTCATAACAATTTAAGCAATTTTTACTTACATTTAATATACGAGCATGCATCTAACACACTTTTGTAACCCAGGCCAAGCCATTCACATAATCAAGTCTTTGCAGTTGCCTGCCAGAATTTGGGGGGTTTAAAATGGCAAGCAACCTACTTACTACAAGAATTCATATTCATTTCAATTATAGTATGATAATATCATAATATTATCATAATATCATAATATTAGTTATAAAACGTAAAACCAAACTGATGTATGAAGATTCTACTGCTTCAGACTATTGGATATCTTTTTAGCTGGGTAGAGACCGTCAGCTGCTCTTCCTCATGCTGAGCTTCAGAATACCTCTAGAAATGACTGGAATTACAACATGCATAATCAAATAATTAGCCAGTTATATTTTAATAACAGATTGTGTAAAGATCATATGTGAACAGGGGTAGCTGGACTAGAAGAACCCCAGAGATCCCTTCCAACCTCAACTATGCTGCTGCTCTGGGATTTTTTTACCATATCAAACTGCAGCATTACTAAAAACCTATGCTGCTTAAGATCTGCTTCAAGGCAACTACACCTTGCAGTATTTCACATATAGGATATATTTTTCTAGTTTCTAACAGTACTGCACTTGCCATGAAATTAAAAAAGAATTTTAGGGATAATAATTTGCATTTCATTTGTAGTGTCATACCAAGTATGGAATAGTAGCTCCCTTGTAAACACGGACAATATAGTGAGGTATATTCATATAGTTCCTGTACTTTAAATACCATGACATCATACTTTTCCATCAATGTATTTAATAACTGACAAGCAAATTAATTATGCATTCATCATTCATGTATGCTTCCAAATGTACATATATATGCATATTCAAAATACACTTTTATTAGTTTTTAAAAATCAACCTCCACAACAAAGAAGTTCTTTATCCAGAAAACTCTTTGTGTCTTTAAGGTAAAATAAATTCTGTCTTATGAAAAACTAAAAGATTTCAGATATTTAAGGGGAATATACTAAGTCTGGGAAGGCGAAATTTAATCTTATGCGACCATGTCCAATCCCCATCCCCTCAAGGCTATTATTCAAGATGTTAGAATAGGCACCATCACAAACCATCAGTATTTAGACAGGTAGTAGAGTCACTACAGTGATTGTCCTGGATCCACTTCCCTCTTCCCTCCCCCGAACGGATTTTCTGAAGACAACACCAACGCTGTCTTACTGTCACCACACAGCCTGGATATTCAGTTTTTCTGGTAAGAGATTCATGCTTTGCAACAGGAAAATTTACAAAGAATTAATTCTGAGATGTTAAAATTTTGTTGCCTCCAAGCATGGCATTGGTTTGGTTCCCCTCAGGAATGAGTCCAAGATCGCTAGGAAATATCTATAGGACTTTGCACTGCCAAAAAAATCATGCAGCCTTCCACACTCCACTTAAAACTACAGCACAGTAAATTTGCACAGCACAAGTCAACTCAGTCTTTAAGAAGTTATAGGAATAATTAGTAAGAGGAACATTTTGGCAGAAGTAAACACTCAAAATCAGTCAATTATTTAGCTTAAAAAGAAGGTTTTTGGTTTTTTTTGTTTTGTTTTGTTTTTGTTAAACCATAAGGACCCCACTTCTCTAGGTAGTTTGTCATGAATCTTTGTCTCTACAGATTTAATAGTAAGACTTGCTAACAAAGCAACTCAGCTATAATTCTTATGATGTGTTTAGTCTCTACACTGAACGATAATTAGCAAAAGTCTCCCAAATGGCTTTGCCTGTAAGACAGTAAAATAATTCCAATATCGTAAAAGGATTTTGCATGTGGTGCGCAGCTTCACATGAGAAGATTCTTACAGAAAACCATAGAGTAGCATGAATTTTAATTGAAGTTAAAGTCTGAAAACTCTATATAAAATCATTTTGCCCAAAATGAAACATATTATCTTCCATAAAAAACACTCAAGAATTTCTAGAAAGAAATCAACTAAAACCTTATGAATGTAAATAATGCCTTTCTTTTTTCTAAGAAGCCTTAAAATATTTTCTCTACATATAAATTCACCTTTGCATTTAGTTTCAGCGTGATTAGATGTTGTCGACCACATGAATCTTCAGCTTTTAGCTTTACTGTAGTCAGACCAGTATCCACATATGCCACTCTGGAAGAGAAAACTGTAACAGTTTGAAATGTCTGCAATACTCTTATTAGTCTGTTCGAAATAATAACCAGAACAAGTCCTATCTGCCAACCATTTCTGCTCTTCTAGATTTACTGCTGCTAATACACCAGTCTACTGCTTAATGCAGTCATATATCTTTTGGTTATTTACAGTGTGTGTCAAGGCTCACGCTGTGGTCAGTGAGCACTATGTTTCAGTTTTCCATCACTGGAACCTTTGACACACACAGCATGTTCCTGTCAGCCTCTACTTATGTACACATTAAACTTCCTGTCAAATCTTTGATCCATTTCTGCAGTTTCTTACAGCATGAGTCTTTTCTGCTCTTCATTTGCTTTTCTTTTCAATGAAGTTATCTTTTATTATCAATACTATTATTGTGGAAAATTGAGTCGATATTGGCTCATATTCTGGAATTGATTTTCTATAGATAGCAGTACTGAAGCAGGTACAAGGTGAATTATTTGCAGTGATTTCCGTTTGTTTTTTATGGCACTTTTTCACAGTACGCATGCACCCAAGCAAGCATTAAGTACATATCAAAGTTTAATATCCTAAGCTTTAAAACTTAGGACATAATCACTACATTTTGTTCAAGGTCATATTGATTTGTAACTGATTTCCCACAAAAATGGAAGTGCATACAGTTCTAAAATATATTCATCCCTAGAAATATCTTCTTCTGATCAGTTTTACCAACTTCTAAAAAGATGCAAACTTATCCACGCAGTTACTAGTGAACATTTTCACTGTGTCAGTCTTGTGTAAAGATAAAAAGCAGCATAAGGTTATTGTACAACTTAACACTGAGATTAACTGTAAGACCCATCAGATTTCAAAATGAGCATTTGCTTGTTAACAGTAACATTTTTTTAAAACTATTGCACACTAGTTCGGTTATCTGGCGATGTCACTAAATCATGTCCCGAGAACACATGGCCTCAGTATGCAAGAATTGAAGAATAAAAACACAAAAAGCAGGAGCAGTACTAAGTGGGGCAGGGGATGCATTACTTCACGTGTAGTGCTGACTGTAATGCAATATTAAACAGTCCTAAGATACTCCCACCTTACAGAACTTTAAAACAAACAAACAAACAATCTACATCCCAACTCTTCATCTACTCTTGCCTAGGGTAGAAGAACCCCAAACCAGCAGCGAAGGCTACGTCTGGACACTCCAAGTAAACTACAAGTAAACAGTACTTAAAAAAAAATATTCAGTTCTAAGATTCATATTTAAAAATATACCTTTAAAGCTATCTAAAATGTGATTTTCTCTGAGCTTGGAGGGAGTAGAAAAGTAATGTTAAAAAAAAAAATGTAGATTCTCACCTGCATTCTGTACCTCTGCAGTTCACTCTCTCCAACTTGGAAATTCTTACAACTTTCTGACTTCAACAACTACTCACTACTAGGCAACACAACTATTTAAGTTAAACAATGCATCAGCTTTCAGCTGTTGTTCATTACAAACAATGTACTTCTTCGAGATTTTCTAATAAAAAAATATTTTCCCTTTCAAACTTTTCCACAAAGAGAAACAGTAAGAAACAAACAAACAAACAGAGAACAAGGGGCAGAAAGAGTTAAGAAAGAATCCCAAAGAAGCCAAATTTCTACTCAAGCTTGTCTTGAGATGGTCAGGAACATGACTCACAGAACAGACTGAGGAGATGCTGGCGGTCTTTCACATGACAGTCACATAGCCCTACAGACTCTTTCACAGTCAAAATCCTACCAAAATCCTGATGCCCTGAATTCACTACTCAGGCTATCGGATAATATTAAGAGATCCTTTCCATTATTTCAGTACTACTTTCTGCGTATCCTCTTCCACCTCAACTGACACAGACAGTATTTATTAGGTTTCTGCTGGCATTTTCCACCTTCTTAAAATGAAGAAGGTATCCTCATTTGAATTCCTCAGCTGTTGGGAGGAAAACACAGAATTTTGGTACAATTCTAGCACCTGTTGAACTGTGACTTTTGCATTCATGTATTCAAAATGAAGAAAACATATGTGTCTTCTTTGTATCGAAATTAGGTCAAAGAATCAGTACCAAAGTGCTTATATAATCACAGTAGCCTGCCCATCTGCAATCTGCTTTACTGTTTTTTTCTTTCAGTGGTTGATGACAAAAGAGGCATAAGATCATTTCAGATAATATCTCCAACTTCTTTCTGAGAAACTTCATATATTCCTTAGATAAAAGTCATTAGAACACACTAACTTTTTACCATCTTTGAGAGCTTCTTAGCTCACTTCAGAGATAAAGAAGTTATAACCTATTGCTTTGATTCGCCTTTGTCCAAATTTCTTTTGTTATTCTATCAGATTTGGATACAATCAGCTTCATCGTCACACTTCCAGCATGACCTAAAACTCATGAGAAGGAGGGGAACATGACAAGCCAGTTCTTTCCCAAAAGGAATCCGGTAAAATAAAGCTAGAGGTTCCTCAGAGCGTGAGCTGCAATCCTTCCTGACAGTACTAAATGCAGCCCTAGATGGTGCTGATAGAGTATATGAAGATCTTTTTAATAAACATGTGTACATATGTGTGCTTCACCTGAAATTCCGAATCAGCCCTGACTAAAGGGGATTTCTCTGTAGTTCATGCATACATTAGATTGCTAAAAGCATACTAAAATTAGAAAGGGTATTTGCTAGTAGGTGTCTTAGTACCTCTCCCGGTTATTATCCCCCTTTCAATTCATAGTTCAGATATGATCCCCCAAATACAGTCTAGCATTTTTATTAATAACTGACTTCCCTATAACAAAAAAAAAAATGAACAGGGATTTTATCAGCAACAGAGGTTGATCAAGAAGAGTCCACTGCACTGGACGAAGGCAGAGTGCTTTGAGGGGAGAGTACATGCTCAGATTTTTTTTTTGTTATGCTATAAAACTGTGTAAAGTTTTAGGTAAATTGAACTAATATCTGAAAAGAATGTCTTCAGCCAGCACAGCTATATACTCAGTAATGAATATCACCGAGAAAACTTCAGCTAAATTAACATGGATATTTTAAATACTTAAATAAAAGTCAGTATTAAAAGTGAATTCTTATTTAATGTTATTAATTAAAAGCTATACATACATGAACCAGGTAAGAAAACTCAATACCTATGGCCTTTTTACTTCAGCTTTCCAAATTCTCACCTACACGTACATATACTTTTCTTGTCGATTTACCCTTTCTTTAGATTAACCATGCTACTTCTTTCTGTACAGAAATCATTGTGACTATGGAAAGCAAGACAGAATTGTTCCCTTAGAAATAAGCAAATTATGCAAGTTTTAAAAAATATGTGATCTAGGTTTTCATGCCAGCTTTTTAAGACACTTGTTCCTAAGCATAGCTACTTCACTAATTGTAATAACATCACTGTTATCCTTCACTACAGAACAGAAAACTAAAACAGCTGTACAAACTAGGTGAAAATAAGAAAGAAAAATGAGAAAAATAAATGCCACATTAAAAATGTAAGATCAGTAAGAACTAAATTATCTGATCCTGAGACTATGCCTTCTGTTTATATATAGTTGCTTTTTCTTTTCTTTCTTTTCCTTTTTTTTTTTTTTTTAGAGAAAAAAAAAGAACAGCAGAATGTTTTTAATATAGAATCACAGTTTCTGATCAGGATTAATTAACTGAACAAGTACAACTGGTATCTTGAATTCATGTATCTAAACAAACAACAGATATTCTAAAGACGATCTCTGTTTAAGTAATAAAAAACATACTTATTCCAACCCAATATTTCTATATCTCTGACAAGACAGGAGTAGTATTCTGGTGGACGTGGTATGTGCAGCTCTGGTGTATTCTTTAAGGCAATTTCCTGTTTAAAAGAGCATTAAAACATCATTAAGAGATATTTCAGTATTTTTGCATCTCATGTCATGTGATTTTTGCAATCCATTCAAAAATATTAAGCCTATGTAAACTTAACTGTACACTGCATTTGTTTTGTTATAGCCTCCAGCTAAAGCAGACAAAGAAGCTGGAAAATTACTTTAGATACTGGAAGTGAAAACATCTGCATTTAAAAAAAAAAAAAAAAACACAGATGTCAACAACAGTTTCCACACTCAAATACCAATGTATTTATTTATTTATTTCATCTCAGACAATTGTATTTGGTAATACAAGAGTGCCAAAAAAAAAAAAAACACCAATTCTGTAAATGTGAGAGAAAAGGTAAGTTTGCACTAGGTGTATGAGAGGGAAGGAAATGGATCCAGGGCATTTCATTGCCGATGTGGAATATACAGCGAAGTCATTGGAGAGGGATTTCCCGAGCCATCCTGGAATCACTAAATAATACTGGGATTGAGATACTATTGTAATCACAATGCCACATATTATCAGTAAAACCGCCTGTTATGATTGATTGCTGTAATTATTTTACATCACCTCTACACTATTCTAGTTTAGGATTTTGTGCAGTGAATGGACAGTGATCAGACTTTCCACAGAGCAGTACAGAATGCATTGCAGCAAGCTGCTATTATACTAAGTAATTCTGGAAGATAACTACCCAAACTCAGTGATACATCTCCAGTTATGCTTATTTTATGATTTAAAAAGTATTCCAAAAGAGAAAGTGAAGGGAAGAATTTTTTTCAAGGTCAGCCACTTATGTTTTGAAACATTCTTGACTGGAACACAAACAAGATTGGGAAATAGGCAGCCACAAGCTGTGATGTTTTTTCAGAAGCTGAAGTTTTATGCAGCTGATGCTCATGCAAGAAGGGACATGACTATCAGAGCAATGATTAGTGCTACAAGCAGTTTTTCCAGTGTTACTGGGGGAGTATCTTTTAATTAGGTCAACACTTTTCACAAAATAAAACTGGTCACTGTGGATATTTGAAAAAAATCTACCAGCTGCAACTCTTAGCTGTTCCTCTCAGATCCTGGCTCCCTTGCATATCTACGTACTGTTTAAAAGATTTCTCTTGATATGGGATTATTAAAAAAAAATATGCCCCAACTTCTCCTCTCTGTTTATCTATTTCTAATCAACACCTAAGGACTAGCAGAAGATCAGGCAGTATGAACAGAGGTTAGGTTCATAGCTATGGAACTACTGGGACTGGCAACCATTATCAGGGAACCAAAGTCTCCACCATGCCTGCTGCGAGATAAACTGCAATTAAAAGTTCCCGAAAAATCAATGCAGAGCAGAAATCTTTTAAAATTTCAGATTTTTTTTCAGAATTTTATCCAATTAATACCTCATTCTGACATCACATCACATGATATGTAAATCATGGAGCCTGAAAATATATTTTTAAGCTGCAGCAACTATCCCTCTACAAAGAAAATGCTAATATTTTTATAAAAACACAATAAAGCCTACGAGAGAGAACATAAGAAAAATCAGATTTCCAGAGAAAAGTTTCATTGTAACTACAGTAACAAAATCTTACAAAATGATAGCAGAATATCACATATTTTTTATGAGAAGAAATAAAAATGTCAAGAAATACCACACAAAAAAATGTGATGCTACAAGCAAAATATTCAGGATAGCTGCTTTAAGATTTTAAAAGTAAAAACAGACGAACAAAAGCCTTGAGAGGAAAAAGATGACCTTACAAATGCTGTGATACAGCTTGGAACAAACGAAAATATTTTTCTATTGTTTACAGATAATATAGAAATTGTAATAAAACAATTTTAGTAGTTTTTTTTTAGTAGTTTTAGTAGGTTTTTTTCCCCCTCTATCAACAATCACATTTTACTACGTTGAATGAATTGTACTTTCAATATATACTCATTTTCTTGGGGCTTACGTATTCAGACACACAGATCGGCATAACTATTGTGAAATATTCCACAACAGCCACATGTAGACATTCTTATGTCTTATTCTTACTCCAAGTGCCTTTGTCTGGCTTAGCTTAATCTGTTTTGGCAGAGATTAACCAACACAGAACAAAGGCATTCCCAGTATAGAGCAGGAGTGTAATAAGAATATTTTTGCTGTTTTTTTGAAAAATAGTTATTGTGTTTTATTTCTAAATTGAGTGTGAATGCAACTATTCTTTGCAGAGAAGTCCTACAAAGTAAAATTTTGCTGATATCAAAATATTGATTTCATGTTCGTAACCAAACCTTTGCTACTCTTATAATCCCACACTAAAAAAAGGTTTTGATAAAGAATAAACAGCAGACATCAGAAAAGAACGCTTTCTACATTTATAGATCACACTGTCATGCAGATGAAAGGACCTTTTGCAATCCACTGATAGAGCACCCACCCACTGTATGAATAAAAGCATTATTTTCCACCTGGACAATATGAGAAAGCCCAGAAAAAGCACTGCAAAGACGATGGCTCTTAGGGCTAACAAAGCTACATATCTCACTGGATTTTTTTTTTCTCTAAAACAATGCATTTTCTGGAGAGAATAGACAGTTAAAATCTTATAGGGTGTTTGTTTATGCAAATATTATTTAAGCAGTGTGACATAAAATTGTCTCTTATTAAGTCATAAATCCATCTGTCAAATAGTAAACTGTAACAAAACAAAAAACTGCAAATCAAATACATAAGAATATCCCTTCTCCCGTGTATGTGTATATATATATATATATATATATATAAAGAAACATTGCTTACCATAACAGTTTTCAGCTCCACCAGAAAACTGACAAGATCTGGACAGCTGTGCAACCTCTGGAGAAAGCACAGTATCAGTTCATTTTCTTCATCTCATAACCTTTGGTGGTGAACAATTTTAGTCTAACTAGGTATTTTTCTGATGGGTTTAACTAACACAGAGAAAAAAAAAACAAAACAAAAAAAAAATCGAGCATGTGTGAAGAGTTCAATTTAAAACAAACCTCCCTGAGTATGGAGAACTTTATTGACAAATAAACACTTTGTCAAGCAATTTGCATAATACACTTACACAGTTTATGAAGACTTTGTTCTTTTATTTCGGAAGACATTTATAAAGACTTAATCTTCACAAATAAAAATAGAAGCTTTTGCATTACTTAACTACTCAAAAATATATTGGCTAGTTTAAAAATAATAAATAACATTCTGCAGACTCATCTACCGTTTGAAGATGAACATGTTTGTGCTTCAGTTTTCTCAGCTCTGTACCCTTGGATGCTATGGAGTTACCACGCTTGTTCTACAAAGGGGTGCAGAGATGCTGTTTTTCAAATAGCACATGTGGCTTCTTAGAAACTTGACTGCAGATCTGTGCCCTTACTCCAGAGTTTTCTCTGGATAGGGAAATTTAACTATGATTACTTGGCCAAATATGACATGGCATTAGCTAGATATATTCACAAATTTTATTAACTTTCTTCTTTGTATTATGAACCTTTTTTTAGAAAAGAAAAAAATTGGTTTTAATTTAGGAATAAAATAAAAATTCCAGTAAAATGTCAGCTGTCATTTTAACAAAATATTTTCTATTTTAATCTCCAAAACATAGAGGTTGAAGAAAAATATATATTTATAAGAATCTATCCATCTCTCTCTACTTTTGCCCGCAAATCCTCAGACATTTCAAAATAATAAATCTTGGTTATAAAATGAAAAAAGATTTAATACATTTAAATTGAGTTGTGAGAACAAGCATTTCAGAATTACTGTTACTATATATTTAGAAAGGAAAAGCTTTAAAGAGTAGTATACCTGCTTTAAAATATGCTGATATCCATGCAGTATCTTCTTTAGATCCCAGCTACACTCTATCCTAGACAAACAATATTTTGCATGCACTTTAAATACGAATTCATCATTTTTGAAAGAGTCAGGAAGTCTAATGCACACTAACACAAAAGTTTTTCCTTCAAAAACACAAAGGAAGTAAACAGTATTTTAAAATTTGAGTTATTCAGTTTTTTAAAATCTTCAAAAGTCACGATCCATAGTTCATTAAGAATTAATAAGCAGACATTTACCTATGAAAGCCTCCACTCTTTGTTGAAAACAACAACATAATTCTTGCAAGTTAATATGACTTCATAAAACATACCAATATTTAGAAATTGGTATCCTGAAAATGTCAGAGTTAACTATAATGCAGTTCTAAGCATCCAACCTAAAATGTAATAAAGCTGTCTAATATCACATCTGTTCACAGTTTAGAATGGGCCAGGTCACGCTGAAGTATAGAATAGAATATGAAAGACCTTAAACATTATTGCTTTAATATAGATGTTTGCACTGATCTTTCTCAAATGGTGACACATAAATATAGGCCGATTGAAATGAACAATTCTGTGCTCTCAAGTACATTGATTTCTGCATAAACACAACTGATTAATTCCAAAAGGTTTCAAAGTTAATTAACAACAAAATATTTTGATATAGACAATGTTTATTGTCAGTGTTTATTAACACCGATGCTGTAGGATGCTGTACAATTTTGTTGCAAGGTTAAGCTGAAAATAGAAAATATTAATTACCAAATTTGATATAAAATTATAATTCATAAGCCATCTATTAGTGCTTTTGGCAAAATAAACCTTTAGTTACTGCATTTAAAAAAAAAAAAAAATCTTACCTTGCATTCTTCAGTTGATGGTCCACTGGTAACAGTATTCTGATATGGAAGTCTCTACCCTTGAAAATAAGCATTTAATTGATAGGAAGGTCAACACAGAAAAATGGTTACACATCAGCAGAAGTTTTCATAGGACTGGCTACTAAGAGAGAAACTTTTACTAGAATGTTATTCAGAATTATCACGAGGAATTTCTTCATTCAAAAAAAAAAGAAAAAAAATGACAGTTGGAAACTGCCACTTAAAATTCACAGAACTCAGGAAAAACTCTCCAATACATTGTGTCTCATAAGGCAAAAATAATATTTTTAACAAGAAAAAAAGCACTATCCAAATCCAGACACAACGAAGAAATAGAAGCTTATCTTCATAATGCAGAAACATATGAAAGTCTTCCTTTGACTAAAAGTTACAGGAGACATATCATACTGAAAGGAACTTGGACACTGATTCACAACACATTTCAGCAAGGCTTGAGAAGCTAAACACAAACAGTCCCGCCTACATGACTGCAAGTACTCTATTAATAGGGAGGAAAAAAAAGAAAAAAAGGAAAAAAAAAAAAAGTGAGACCACTCTTAAATGCTTAAATGCAACCCATTAGTGGCATTTTCAGGAGTTTTCCTGACTTTTGATCCTTCCTCTACTGTCTTCCATGGCGATCAAAACAGTACTGAAACAAAGAAAGCTGGTTAATGCGTTTGATATCATCCTGGAGTCAAAACAGCAGTTAAGTCACTTCATTTTTTTTTTCAGATTCTCAAAGTTCTCTCTCTACATACCATGACTTATGACCACAAATTCTAAGATTTCTCCAGAAAGAAGTTAAGAGCAACAGTTCTCCACTATGATAGGACAACAGATTCAGTGGATGCTGTTTACCACGATTTTAATGCAACTTTCCAGAGTGATTCCTGTAACATCGTCACAGGCAAGCTTGTGAAGCATGAGCTAGATAAGCAGTCAGCGAGGTGAACTCAGCCTAGAGAGATGGGTATAGAGGGACCTCGTGTCGTTTAATACGGTAAGTGTAAAGTCCTTGTCCTGCACCTGGACAGGAGAAACCAGCTGGAGAGCAACTGTGCATAGAAGGCCCTAGGGACCTGGTGGACAAGCTGACCATGAGCCGGTCACGTGCTGTCACAGCAAAGAATCATAGAATCATTATGGTTGGAAAGACCTTCAAGATCAAGAAGGACATCTGCTGCCTGGGCAGAGAGTGGTGCAGCACACCAGGGGAGATGATCCTTCCCCTGCACTCAGCACTCCGCAGCTCACATCTGATCTGCTGCGCCCAGGCCTGGGCTCCACAGCACAGGACAGGCATGGACTTACTGCAGAAAGTTCAGCAACGGGCCACAAGACCATGAAGACATCATTAAGAGGCCAAGAGGGCTGGGACCGTTCAGCCTGGAGAAGGCTTGGAAATCTCGGCAATGGGCACTAAGTCGAACACATACCGTAAATTTCACCTAAAGGTAAGAATGAACCTCTTCGACTATGAGTAGTTGAACATGGACACAGACTGCCCCGAGACGCTGCAGCTTCTCCATCCTTGGGAGTTATTCAAAATATGTCCAGGCTTGGTCCTGAGCAACCTGGTTCAGCTGACACAGCTTGAGCAGCAGAGCTGTACTCGAAGGTCCTGTCCAACCTCTGCGATTCTCACAAGTGAGAATATCCTTCTCTCAAAGCTAATGTTTACAAGAGGCTTCACTTAAACGTACAACCAACACAACACAAGCAGCCCACAGGCTAGACCACACTAAATAGCACAGACAAGATGTAAGGAGCAATTCTGCATGCCTAAACACAGAATTACGTGAGTCTGATACTGGGTAGTCACTACAAAGCGTACAGTAAGCAAGTTATTAAGCAAATAACTGCAGGTAGCCTTGGCGCTTTCGCCAGCAATGTGCATTGTGTTTATTTAAAGACGCCTCTTTAGTCGGTTTTTAAGCCAACTCGGGAAGTGGCCGTACAACCCCACGGATGGGGAGGCGGCCGCCCCGGGGAAAGGGGTGCCCCGCGCGCCGTTTGTAACGGTCGCTTGCAAAGGCCGCCGGCCCAACCGCGCGCGCGCGCGCCCAGGCAGGCCCGGCCTGCGGGCGCCGCGGCACCTGCGCCGTGAGGAAGCCCTCGTAGGCTGTCCCCTGCCGGTTCTGCAGACGCAACC